CAGCTGCACCCACGGTATGCCAAGCCTATCTGAACAATAGGGCCTGGTGTAGTTTAGAACAGCCTCAGAGGTGTTCTGCATGACATCAGATAGCTAGAGAAACACTTCAGCTTTATAGTTATAGCCATGCCAATATGCTTTAGTCAGGCATAGTGGTTGGGGCACCCTCCCCAGCCACCTTAGTGCTGGCAGCATAGTAAATCATCTAGTCATTATCTTTATTAAACTTAGTTGGAGTTACATATCCTTGTTAAGAAAACAGATTGTTTAGATCAAAGAGTTTCCTCCAGAGGTGAACCATGCCTACTGCAATGGCAACCCTACTGCTTCAATTCCAATGGAATAATACTGTCATAGTATATCTGCTATTCTTAATGCAGACCTGCTCACTGAGGGATTTTTAAGTCTTGAAGTATGATCTGGGATTGATCATCACTGTCATTAATCTCTACTGCTATCTGTATGCCCTGCAGTCAATTATAGTTTTATGTTTGTCTCAAAGGTCAGAATTTGGCTGCTTCAGAGGCTGTTGTCTACAGGTTCTACTACTGGCCTCATGAACAGAATATTTGTGTTTTCTTGCAGTGCACCCAGCGACATGATTAACATCTGCCATGTGTTGTTTGTCCCCTGGTCGTCTCCCCAAGGGGACAAAGCAGTGCAGTATTTTGTTTTGCTAGGTTGTAAATGCACGCACGCATGTACACACACACACACACGCCTGTACACTACTACTTCTGTTAGAGAAGACAAAGTCAACAAAGTGTGCTTTGCACATAATCCTCCATTATGCTTCATACAGTTACACTGATTGTCAAGTTTGCTTCCTATTAGGTAGTGGTGGAGAAGAAACTAAGCAGCTATTATACATACTGTTTTGTCTTGTCAATAGATGTTTATACACTTCTGGATTTAACAATTTTTGAAGGATGCAGATACCTACACTGAGTTCTGCAATGACATGCCTATTATTTAATCATCTAATTGTCTATGCTCTACAATTAATGGGACCATTTTATACAAGCTTGAAAACACATTTGAATAAATTGTAGTTGTTTCATTTTTTTTCTTCATCATTGTTTTTGCTGTCCTCTATCTCAGTTTAATGGGTCTAGCTTTTTTGTTTCTTTTATTTCCTTAGCATTTTTTTCTTCTTGATTTTCAATACAAATTTTGTTCAAGGACAATTTCATATCATGCAGCGGCTTAACAAGCTAAACCAACTTTCTTAAGCAGAATCTACTTTTATCAGCCCTGTGGTTTTGTTATTTAATTATTTTGCAAAAGAGGAAAAAGACCTAATTTGTGTGCCTCTTGCTTGAAAAAGTAGGTTTAAGCAAGTACTGACACATCCTTTAGATAATAGACTACAACAAATAAATAAATAACTCCAGAAACATTTGGAATTGGGAGGATTGGCTGAATTACACTGGGACACTGCTATTATGCTGTGGTTTCAACTGTGCATCTCACTGGGGCCTTGCCTTGAATGATGTTTTCCTGCTTTTACACTGAGAACGCCATTGGCAGACTGGTGGACAGAGTGTAGAAAAGTAGAATTTGAAATGCTTACTGAGAAAGACATACATCCTTGGCACAAACAAGGAGTCCATGTGCACTGCATTAAAATCAGGAGTGTACATCATCTCAGTTAGCAAAAAGTAGTAGCAGTGTGTAAGGCAGAGGGGTCTAGACTCTAGGGGGAACCTACAAGCTCAGTATACTTTCATTTAAAAAGAAATTGTCCACCACACAGGTTTAATTAACAAACCCTCTTCAGTATTGGATTCCACAGGTAAACTGCCTGATACCGTTTACTATGATGTGGGTGGAAAATGAGGGGTTATATAGTGACAGTTCACTATTCATTCAGGACTTGGTGTGTGTTTTCCAGAGTCCTTCTATACTTGCTTGTTAATGCAAGTTTTCCACTAGCAAAATAGATGCACGTAGTTCCTAACATTTTGTTTCTTTTTGCTATGTTTGCTAATATCCAGTAAAGGTGACTGTCACAGTGCTAATTAGCATGGTTGCAGCACCTTATTAAGTGGCCATGCCACCCCACTTCCAGTTCTGGACCAGTTGTGACCTCCTGAAGTGGCCCATAGGATTAAAGAGGATGTGATTCACTAGCATGGAGTGGTCTTTTTCCACTTCCCTACCTATTTCCTTTGGTTTCTAAGTTGAACTGTATCTGCTTCATAAGCAATAATGATATTGCAGACATGAATAGTTGCAGGAAAGAGATTGTCAGCAAGTGCATCGTGTGGCCAGTGTTATACATCTAGGCAGTTAACACTGTTGAGCTCCTGGTTTCACAGATTTTGGTACCTCCAGAAACCTTCCTCTAGTTCTGCTAATCACACTACACTATCCCAAGCCCTTTTATGACAGCTTGTTCTTCAACCTTTGCCCAGCTAAGTGCAAAACACATGTTGTTTGGCTCTTGTTTTTGCTTTCCACATGCCAGCCTATTTGTCTGCGCTCATGGGAAGGACAGTTACCAGAGCTAATTCCTTTCTTTTTAAACACATTTTAGTCAGCATCCTTTCCCCTAAAGGCTCTTTTGCACTCAGGGGTATGGCCATGGCCCTAGTAGATAAAACACCTCAATACTGTGTCCTTACATACAGCAAAATAAAAATCACCAGGTACCATGCCAACACCCAAGTATGCTGATGCTTTTCTATCTTTGTAATAATTTACTGTTTATCAGTTACAAGCGAGGTAGGCCATAGCAGACGTGCTCACGGTGTGGCCCTGTCAGAGTCCAAAGAATCTGTGAATTCTGCTAAATACCGTGATACATAAGGACATGAAAAGGAAGGGTCAAGTGAGGTATTCTACTTGGTCAGAAATCCACCATTGGATGCAATCTTTCATGATCAGTTTTAAAAGGACAGACATTGAAAAAGAAAAAGTTCTTAACTCCAACTCTCTGAAATTCAATGTTGTGCGTGTATTTCAGAGGCTGATAGTTTCTGCCGTTAAATGAGAAGTTCTGCTGTGTTCAAATAATTTAAAAACAGGCTATTCAGATCTTTCTCTCCTCCCTGTACTTAAAAGGTCCTTCTGATGTGGCACTTTCTAGTACAGAGAAGAGAATCAACACAACCTCCAAACTATACTGTGCAATACCCTTAGTAACAGGTGGGAACTCAAGTGGGGATAAGAGTGAGCATAAGTTCTTGTCTTAACTAGAATACCTCATGCTTTCCTTAGTGCAAAAAGCATATTCACAACAGCTGTGTTGCCTGGCCATGTGTGATTTTACACTATCATCAGTTACATCAAAGTTGAACAGACAAACTCGAACACTCAGCAATGTTATGTAGATTTGTGGGGGCGGTTTCTGGAGGACACAGTTTATAAAAAAAAAAAAAAAAAAAAAAACCAACAAAAAACAAGTGGGTGTAAGTGAGACATTGCCTGTGACAAATATTTCCAACATTGTTTCTTGTTACCTACTGGGCAGCAGCCCACTATTGCTCAGACCTGCATTATAAATATGAAAACTTCAAGTTCATTCAAGTACGTATAAAGGAAAACTGCACAGGGAAAGCAGCTGGACAATTTAAAGTTTAGTACTTCGGTAAGGAACAAAATTGGTGCAGTCTTCTAGCTGCTTTGAAACAACACAGAAGCTAAATCAACAGAGTTGAGATTGCCATCCCAAAGTACACTGTGGGGAAACAGTGATGCATCACAGTTTTTGGCTGCAGTAGGACACCTGCATGGCAAAATATGGCTGCAGTAGGACACCTGCATCGTCATGGCAAAATATGCTGCTAAGTGATTTAGCAGACAGAAATCAATGTGAAATACACAGGTCTCTTTCAGGCTGCCAGTCCTATTGTGTAATGCTGCACCGTGTAAGCCAGCCATGCTGTATTACTAGGTCATATTCAGGCAATTCCCTCATCATAAACATCCTGATTGTTTGATAATGAAACCACTGAAGGCTTTAGATGCCTCTTTTGGTTTCTGATGCACAAGACTGTGCTGACTCCAACATTATGCTGTCATAGATAGATTTCAGTTACCAACCTTTGCTTCAACATGTGTGATCTGTTTGGTACAACCATGTGGTATAGTTTTTCACAAGATAAGCTTGTGTGTCTGTTGGGACCATGTTTTCTTCAGCATGAACAAAAGCGTATTTCAGAAAATGCTATCTTCAGTCAAGGAAGATGATCAATTGTCTCTGAGGTATGGACCACATGGCATGTTCTATTTGCTGAAGTTAGAAGAATCTACTTCAAACGAAGGAAACAGCCCTACAGAATTACAGTCCTCCAAACTGAATGCCTATTAACTGAACACTGATAGTGTCACCACTGTAGCTAATGGTGGAAACTACAGGTGAGAACACATTACTGCTATAACCACCTCCCTAGAGATTGCATCTGTATGAAGTAAGTTTTTGAAGTGGAGACCTGCAAACTCTTCTCCTCTGCCCATTCCCAGGTCTCTACAATCAGGTAGACATCCTGCTGCTGCTCTATGAGGCATGAATCAGCCAGCCCTTTTAGCTTACACATTTTTTCCCAAAGCAGCTTCTGGTGAAAGGCAGGGTATTTGTGCTTGAAATTTCAGTTCCACTTGCTTAAATATCAAACCTTTGTTGAACAAGTTTAATTAGTTCAAACATTTAAGATCAAGGTAAAAAATATCAGTGCTCTGTAGATTAGAAAACATGCATTACTGCTTTGTGAAGACAACTTAATTTTCTCTTTTACATTAATTTAGATATATTTTATTTAGCAAACCTACCGTGTAAATAATATATAATTACCTTTCATTTTAGCTGTAACAGAAAACATAGCTATTGGATTTGTTAATTACTCTGGCTTCTGTAGTAGCCAAAATAGATTTTTAGAAGGCAAGTTGTACAAGACAAAGCCATTTAAAATAAAAACAATTAGAACAAAAGAGAAATATTGACTGTATTAGGGCCTTAGGTAACTAGCAGTATTAAAAAGTGTAACAAACACAAATGATATTGTCATACATCAGTTTTGTTGTATTGTTTCTGTAACATACCAATACATTATGAATTTCAGGTACTATCAAAGTAATTACAAACAAATATATAGTTATATACCAATGACTTTTCAGCTCATATCTGCTGTGTCTGGCAACAGTCAGTTAGATAACCCTGCAAGCTGGTCCTCATGCATGGATCCTACTGAAGGCATGGGAGCTTCCAACAGGTTCAGAGATCTGCCCATGTGGATCACTTTACAGGATGGGTTCTTTGTTAGGAAAATCTGGGTTACTTACGTTGACTGATCTTCGGGGTAGCATCTATCTATTTCAGTGATTACCATCACTGTGGTATTTGAGCGTCTCTCCAGAGTAAAACCACTCTGCAGTGATTTTTCTTTTAGTAATTAAAACGTGTAATGTCAGCTTTTTCTCTTAGCCCCCATAAAAACGTGTTCTAGCTGCACAGTTTATAAAGTCATTAATAGATACAACAACATCTCAAAAGGTTGCAACTACCCTACTCTAACTGTATACTATACTATCATTTTGTTTTGCTAACATTTTACTAGAGAATGAAATGACAGAAATCTGAGAATAATTTTGGTTATCATTAAAATACTGTATATAAACTGTTAAAGGTAGAATAAGGCATTCTGAACATAAGCTTGAGGAATGTACAGTTCCATGGCCCCCTGTACTAATGTTTCAATTTCTTCCCAGAATTAGTGGAATGTTTTTGCATATAAATCTCTAAACAGTTTATAAATATTACAGATAAAAAGCAAAATGTTTCAAACATCTTTTTTTAAAAGCATTGGCTTGATATTAGTCCCCAGTCATCTACTGTGGAATTATGATTCTGAAAATTAAAAAAAGGTTCAATGAAATGCCATGATCTCTAGAAGACACTTACTTATGAAAAATCAAATGAAATACTATTAATTTCAAATGCTGTCTAAAAAACACACTAAAAATGTGTATGGCAGGTAGTATGGTAAGTAGTATTTACTCATTCTCATATTTCACCGATTGGTATTACTGCAAATAACACTGTATTCATGACATGCCTTATGGGACAGTTTACTATTTTCATAAGCAGTCACATGCATTGAAGTTAGGATCACCAGCTGGTGCACTTTGCACCCCAAAGCAGAACCACCAGAGAGGCCATGCTTACAAATTTCTCTTGCTGATTGACAAGTTAGCCGGTGCATGAAATGACAAATTTCAGCCAAAATAAGAAAGCAAATGACCTAAGATGTCTCTTCAGGAGCTACTTCTACTTCTACTTCCTGAGTAGGTTTCTCCATGGGTTCACTGTCATGAACTGGAGATGGATTACGGCTGGCCTTATTGCTGTCATGGCTGCTGTGACCACCTGCGCTTCCAAGACGAGTTGATGCCACAACAGCTTTTACTGCCGCCTGAGAAAGGTAGGAGAAAATAGGTTATTTTTCTTCAGTACAATGGCATATGACAACTTCTAGGTGTGGATATACGTAATGCTTAGACCAATTTAAAATACCTCAAGCATTCAGGCATCCAAGCCAGTTTAGAACAATTAAACCTCCCGAACTGTTTAAAAAAGATACCTGGATAATTGAGTACTACATTGAGCTGGTTCTCCATGAATTGGTTCAGTGTTATGTAAGGCACCAAACTTTCTGTGACTAGCATCTGGTTGGTCCTCCAGGCATCTCACACTCATCCTGCCTGCCCCAACCCCTAAATGGCGACTAGCTTCTCAGATATGCAGACAGAACTCTACCACCCCAACTTCTATTGCCTGCAGTTAACTGCAGTCAGTGTCCCTGGTTGGGGGCTCTGGGGGCAACTTTCCATCATTTTTTAAAAGTTGGTCAATTTTCTTTTTTTTGTTGCCAACTGACCAGGGGTCCATGCATCCCAGGCTTATTTGGGGTGCAAGGTGGCCAGGTGAAGTGAGTTGCCTCAACCTCTGTTTTTGGGTGCCTGGAGCTGGGGGACACTGTGGGAGATGGGGTGCCCAGGGACTCCACTGCCACTAAAGGAGGGAAATTTGAAAACTCTTTAAAGCAGTGGAGAGCTGCCCCTGAGCTTCCAGCCTCCAGATACACAGCAGAGGCCAGGCAGCCTTCCCTTGCACCTGGCTGCCCTTCCATTCAGAAATCAGCCTGGGATGTACTGAACCCCAGTCAATATCCAGGACCTGAACTAAACTAATGAATGGTGTGGGGGAAAGTGCTCTTTAAAAGCCCTGAAAGTTCTGGCAGCTTCAGAGCACTCAGCTATCAGGCATTCAGAAGCAGGGGTCCAGGTAGCCCCCTAGTCCTATGCACACATCTAGGCAATCTCCAGTCAGGTATCACCACACAGATGTTCAGTAAGGTACAGGAATGGGTCTTTATTGAACTCAAATGTCGGTGAGAAAGGTGGGGGGAGGAAATTGCAATTGGGCTGGGTACTCACAACCTCCCCTTGGTGGTGGCTTGTCAGAACTGCAATGCCTAAAAGGTGACCATTCCACTTCGAACCCTTAGCAGTGTACGTGCGGACACATCAGACCGGGGACAACTGTGAACTGGTTTTCAATCAGTGACATTCTTGGAATGGGTCAAGTCTTATGTCTGTCCTCGCTCTCAGGACAGTATGAGCATGGAATTTTATTACACTTACACTTCATATTAATATCAACCTCTGATAGCTACAAAAATAAGTAGTATTCAAAATAATTTAATGAGATCTGAAAGAGTCACGGTGTATCTACATGAGACACTTTACTGTGTAGTAGACTTATCTACTGTGCAGTAAAGCATCACCGTCTACACGTGTGCAGCATTTACTGTGCAGTAAATTAGTTTATTGAGCGGTTGGCTGCTACCTGTAGATACAGGTAGTATATTTACTACGCAGTAGCTACTGCACAGTAGTTCACGTGTAGACAGCTGACCAGGAAGCAGGGGGTGGGGGAAATGTCCCCTATTCCAGGCAGCTCCTGCTTCCCAGCCCCTGTCCCGAGCTGTTGATTGGGGCATGAGGCTGGGAGGCTGCCAGCTGCTTCGGAGGCAGGACAGCTCCCTCCCTTCCCTCCAGCCCCTGGGAGCCCAGGCCTGACCCACTGCCCCTTGCCAGTCTGGGGCTGGCACTTGGGAAGCCTGGAGCTCCCCCTAGCTGTTGTAGGGGGGAAGAGCAGGGCAGGAGTAGCCTGCTGGGCACATATGTAGATATACTCCTGGGGAAAGCAATGCATGTTACTGTGCAGTAAGCTTAAAGCATATTAATAGCACGTGTAGATGTGACCACTATTTCTGAAATTCAAACCTGGACTATTGTTGGTAGAAACATGTTTAGCTACACTAATTCTGAGTTTGAAAATAAAATATACTTATCAACATCTCTATTAAAATGAACTGATAAAAAAATATTGTTCCATCTTGTGAGAGAGTAAATTACACTGATTATATTGTAACGTATGCACAGATTAAAGCAACACTTATCATAAGGACTGATATCTAATATAGTAATAAGCAAAATGTGCTAGTACTGTGCAGACTTTTAGAAAGATTCAGTGAAAGATCCTTATCTGGTGCAAATTTTTACAGTGCTAATCTACAGCAATTAGGAAATGTATCTTGGTCCATGCCCAGAAAAGTTTATATGCTTAGAAAGCAAAGACATATATGGAAGAGGAAACAAGCATACTTTGATGCATGCATGTATAAAAATGATATATATAGGACCCATTTTCAACCACCCCTCTTCCTATTCTTAAGTAGCTGGCTAATTTTTGGTAGGTGCTCCTTTAAAAATGGGAGTGAAGAAGGAATGTGGATGAGGACAGAAGTCTTGCTGACTAGTGGAAGGGAGAGAGCTGAAGTTGCTCATTGAAAAGAGGACTATCAGGCCATAAAGGCTGGCATCACTGGGGAAGCAGGAGGGATGGGGTCAAGACAATAAAAGAGCAGATTCACAAAAGTGTTTAAGGATTGGAATTCACAAACCTGAATGAGGTGTTTAAGTTCCCTATATAATGAACAGGGAGAAACTAGAAATGAGATTCACATTCACACATGCTGAGTGGGAAAACACCAAAGCTAGTCAGTGGAAAATGCTGAAGAGAAGGATATCTCTCAAATCCTCTCTCTTTCTCAGATCCAGAGTCCTATCTCCAGCATTAAGACACCTATGAGAGACTGTGAATCCCAGTTTGAAACTGCTTCTTGGACTAAATTACCTAAGTTATCACTTTGAGTAAGGGGCACTCACCCACTCTTTTCTTTTAAGATACAGGCAGAGGAGAAAGAGGGAATAGTGGTACAGGTTTCCCTCAATTTATGCTATACATGCATTCCCAGGGAATGGCACATAAATTGAATTTGCATAAAGCAAACCCACTTTACAATGTAATAAATAGGGATAGGTTCCCATGGTGGGGTGGGAGGCCAAAAAAAAGCCAAAAATACAAGAGTCATAGTTTGGGAGGGAGAAGCAGCTATTTATCCATACTTTGAAAAGCATCACTCTGTAGCCCAGAGATAAGGGATATCCCATGGGAGGGGAGAGTCTGGGGTTCCAGTCCCTATGTCAGAGATTGCTTACGGGTAAAATACATGAGTAGTGTTGGGAATAGATATGGGGACCCAGGGTTCCCATCTCTCAGGCCAGAATCCCCTCTACTGGGCTACAGTCATGCTTCCTCTTGCTTGATCTCTCTCTGATCCATATATCTTGCATTTCTTTCTCCACAGTGGCCCAAGATACCACATGCAAGCACTGGCAACACCCATCCACTGTGTTTCTGAAATGCAGTGGTTCTGTATGTTGTGCTTTGTGCTGAACTCAAGGCCATCAGGGTGTTTTAGGTGTGCTCAGGGCAGACTTGCCAGATCAGGGCTCTCAGGGAACTTGGGCATGTAGATGCCTAATCAAGAACTGCGAACAGATATACGTGTACAGACAGGTGCTGAGATGCTCAGCTCAGCCAAGATGGTGGAGGTCCCAGGCATGCGTAATAGCAGAAATTTAGATGTTTGCATAAGTTTTCCGATGAAACCTGAGGTGCCCATGGCTTCTGAGGCATATAAAGCAGTTAGGCAGGGTTTTGTGCATTGATGACTTGGATTTAGATACTTAAATTCCACCTAAGTTGCATTTAGGTGCCTGAGTTCTTACTTGGATCAGGTCTTAAAGTATGCAGGTTGGGAGAGGTGTGTAGGACCTTGGAAGCAGGAACCTAGATGGAGTGAAGAAGGTAGCATTTACAGAGAAGATCAGTATAGAGGGTGGCTTTGTGAGAAGGACTAAGAATGGAATGTGGCACCTGGTAAAATGATATATATATAAATAATGCCTTTTGCTCTCTGCTGTACGTATAGATGTATACAAGAAAGAATCCCACTCTATTATGCTGCAACTAATATGAATCTTAATTTTAGAATTTACAGATTTAGAACTATTTTATAAAGCTATAGCTCTGAATACAAGAGAATAGTGTCATCTTAGCTTTGTATTATTCCAAAAGTAGCTGTGAGTTTATATTTATTTTTACAGGTATAAGTGTAGCTATGCATATTAATGTATATGCCCTTAGTAATTCAGTACATAGTTTTGCATTTTATGAAGAGGAAATCATTTTCGTGCTGCTAATGATTTAGTAATCCTGTTCTTGATGTTAAATCAATAAAGAAATAAACTTACAAGTGTTTAGATAGCCACACAGGAATGTAACATGGATGAAGACATGTTCTAAATAAAATAATGTTTTAGTTTTTTACAAACATGTGTCCCATTAGAGGCCCCAAAAGAGAATCAACGCTGTGAGACTACAAAGAGAACCCAAACTGACATGTGGAAAACAGATACAATTTTATTAATGACTTTTATTACTGACCTCAGCAGCTCAGTGGGGGCCAACTTTTTTGGCAGGCATACCACAAATTAAGCCAGAATCCTCTGTGAATATCATTTCAATCCCTTTCCCTTTCCTCTGCTTTCTGATCCCTTCATCATCTGCTGCATACCACACACAGGGGCTGTCTGTGCCAAAAGTGGCACACGTGCTGCAGGTTGGCCACTCCTGCAGTAGCCGATGCAGCACAGTTAATTTTGTAACTCCAGCTTAAGGCTATGCAAATATCTTCTATTGAAGAGAATAATAATAATAGACACATCTAAGTCAGTTCTAAACAGGCAAAGAATATCTATAATTATGTCTGGAACTTCCCAAGATCTTTGTATACATTTTGCAACAGACCTTCTTTTGCTATCTGGAGAGCGTCTGTCAGAGTTTCCCAATAAGATCGAAAAATTTGTCAAAATGAACATTTTAGGGTAGTTTACTGTTCATATTTTTTTTTGTAATGGATTGTATTGCTCCCAGCCCAGAGGCTGTTCCGTTGTTATTGTGATGGACCATGATGATAAAGATGGCTCTGCTGTGACTCCACAACAGGTGTTGATCATAAGACTTGTGCCCAAGTACCCCAGGATATATTTTCCAAAGCAGACACTACTGATACTGATTATTATCTAGGGGGTGAATTTCATGCTCATGTAAGCCAGAGGCCTATTTGTCATCTGTGCCTTTGAAACTCTTCCCACTCATGCCCTGTGTTCAGCATATCAGCAAAGAAGTAAAAAGATGAGTGTGGGTCTGATTCAATTCCATAGGATTGCATCTCTGCACCTCGTATACTGGTACACAATGCTTATAATTTTAATGAAAATAATGGAGAGGAAATGCAGTTGCCCAGATGCAAGCCTAGTTAACTGTCAAGATCTGAAACTGCATATTTTGGACCTGAATGTGTATATTTAGCATGTGCAGTTTAGGCACTTAATTTTGACATTAGGCCCTACCAAAGAATGCTCTCCATTCATGCCTTGCATTCTCATTGATATCTATGGGAACGGTAGGCCATTTAAAGGTATCACATACCCCCAAAATATACAAAGCTAATGATGTAAAATCTTATGTACTTAGATTAAGTATCCACCAGGTTTTTAGATGTACAAATCCATGAGAAAGATCAGTAAACCACCTATTCTGACTGGAGCTCTTCTAGTCAACACCTTAGAGATGTAGCAGGAAGTACTAAATGCAGAGGAAGGAAATATTCTCTAGAAAATCCATTCCTGTTCTAAGCAGCTGTGTTTCTACAGCTGCACATTTTTATTCATCCAGTTGTGGAGACTGAACAGATCTTTACCTTTCTCTTGTTCATCAGCCATCATAATAAAGGACAGGGGAATAATTTTTTTTCCCCAATTGGGACAATCTTCACAATGATTTGTAAGGCTTCCTTGGACTGTCAATGTCACAGAATGGTTTTAAAGTTACCACTGAGCATTTTTATACCACTTCTGTGGTATTTTTGAGGGCAACCTAGCACCGCTCTCCAGATCTCAGTCTCCAGTATGCATGGAAATGGAAATGGGGGTGCCATCAGAGTGGCTTCACTGCCTCATTTTTGGGTCTGGTGGAGTGGGCATGAGAGTGGGCAGATGGAGTGTACTTTTTGGGTACACTCAGGAGTTCTGCAGATGTGGTACAGATGAGCCCAGACACTAAAATACAGAGACTTACCTTAAGTTTACGCCGTGCATTGAATTCTTGAAGTTTCTTTTGTGCATTGTCCATATGTGCAAAATTTGCTGCCTTTCCTGTGACCCAAGGGTGCTGCAAAGCTTGGAGCGTGCTGAGGCGTTTCTTGGGGTCTAAAACAATCAACTTTTTAACCTACACCAGGAGAGAAGAAAAGGAAAAAAGAATGTAACATTCTTCCCCTGCAATACTTAGCAAGCCTTACATTATGGAGTTTGTTCTTGATTTTATGCAGCTATGGACAAATGAGTACATTCCAGTAACTCAAAAGATGGTTGGGGTCTTACCAGGCATCAGTTGCTCCATGGCAACAGTCTATGTGATGCTCTTACCCCTAGAGGAGTGTAAGCTAAACTGTGGTCGCTTAGCCCACTTTCACTGAGAAGTAAATTACTGTTTTAGCTTCCACTTACTATGGGGTAAGAATGGGCAGATGGGTAGCTCCTTTTTAGCATGCTGGATTTTGTGTTTGTTCGTGCCCTAAAGTTCTGTACTGAAGGACTCCTTAGGGAAACAAACAATGCTCTATATTCAGTTATAACTCTTGGTTTAAGGGAATGTCTTGGCAAACAAGGACACCATAGAAAAAATTTAAGAGTGAAGAAAGATACCTATATTTGTAGCATTACTACTGCTTTTAACTGTACTTCTGCTAATCGTCATATCTTTAAAATCTCATATAATCAAAAGGTACCTAATATGGAGGAACTAATAGCTTAGTTTTGAAAATAAGTAGGGGTCCAGTTCAGATTGGCAAACCAACCTCAAGCAGGACTAACACAAAACTTAAGGGCCTAAGTCACAAAAAGCAACCCAGCTCCAGCAGCCAAGTAGCTTACTAAGTGCCTAAATTAATTTTGGCTCCCAAAATTACCTAGGTGCCACAAGATAGGTTTCTGCACATGAGGCAGAATTCTTTTCTCCTTTTCATACCTACATGGCAACTTTCTAGCCATGTACCTAGCTGCTGTTGGACCTCCCTCTTCCCTGTGGACATGTTGTGCATATAGACTGAAGATACTCAGTAGACTACACATTAGCCAGGCATACAGCTGAGCTTAAATCCAGAAAAAGGTGAGGAGGGGAAGCAGAATACCTAGGTTCTGGGCCCTCCCTTTACTCCAAGGGAATTGGAATGTGGATCTCTGACTTTTCAGCCCAGCAATTCTAACCACCATGCCACAGGTGGCTTCTCCAGTGCCCCCTTTAAAGCTAACCTGCTGTCCCTTACATTTAACAGACACTGGATAAAAGGGATGGAGAGCAGTGGGGAAGTTTCTGCCCCACTGTGAGCAGGGGTCTAGGCTAGAGCTGAGAGCCTGCTTCCTTTCAGAGCAACAGCCATTTCAATGAGCCATGCACCCTGTAGCTTGGGATCTTCCCCCTGGACCCATGTATCTTCCTCTCTTGGCTGCCCAGAGGGACAGCTTCAAAAGTAGCTCTGAAGACAGGACTGGATAATGTACAATCTGTGGTGTGATGGTTAAAACACTGTGCTGGGAAGTCAGAGAGACAGATTCAAACCCCCTCTGGGGAGGGAGTGGTCCCAGGACCTCGGTCTCCAGCTTCCTGGGCAAGTGCCTGAACCAGTCACCTACTGGGGCTAAAACATGGGAGGGCCACAGTCCTCCAGCATCAGGGGCAGATCTAGAGGGGGGCAGTTGTGCAACTTCACTCCCCTTTTGAATTGGAGTGATCTATGGGAGCCTCTAGGGACTTCTTAAAGTCCCTAAGTTAGGCAGAAATCCTGCCCCCTGCTTCCACTTTCTGCTCAAAGGCACACTGCCTCCTCACCGCTTCCCTGCCCAGCCTACCTTTTCCCTGGCCCAGGTGCAGATAAACACCAGAGCCATTCCTGCCCGTTGCACTGGGGCTGGGGATGGAGACAGTGGCATCTGGGATGGATGAGGGTTTCCCTATCTGGTGTCATTGCTGGGCGGAATAGGGAGAACTACTTTGCACCTGCCCTGTTGCCACTGTCCCCTCCCAAGCTGAGCCCAGCACACACTTAGCCCAGTTGGCTTTGAGCTTCCCCAACCCCCAACAGTGGAAAAAGCAGCTGCAGCAGGCGGCGGAAGGGGAGCAGAAGGGATGTGCCTCTGAGCCGGAAGGGGGAGTGGGGAGGGGATTTTCACTTGCTTTAGAGACTTAAAAACTCCCCTTAAACTGCACTTAAACTCTGTTGTGATTCAGATACATGACAGATCTGTGACTAAAGTTCACCACAGTCCCCTGATAGGCCTGATCCACTAGGCACGCTTGAAGCAAGCCTAATTTACTCCAACAGCACTAAGTTCAGTATACAATGCAGCACCCAGGATCACTTTCACACAAATCTACAGCTGACATAGGAGACAGTAACCTTTTGTATAATAGCCTGGTGGTTTAGGTTGTGGTTTAGGTTGTGAGTATCTAAGCCCTCTTCAGCCCATCTGTTCTGCTTCCAAGAGTGTGTCCTAACTACTTCTCCACCCTTCCTAGTGAAGCTGGGCCATTATGCATTCTTTTAGACACAACAGTATCTACTGTGCCATACATGCTCCTGCAACCCAGGTTTGTAGTGCACCACACATCTAGCCTCCAACCTGTGACAACAGTGCATCACACACCCCTATTCCACCCAGGCATAAATTCTGTGTCACAAAACCCTGCCTATACTAGTGCTTCCACTATTATAATGCAACTTGTGAATGTATACCTTTGTTAGTACAATGGTGACAAATTTCCAGGAAACTGTTGCTATAGATGCAGCAAAGATTGCAGAGTGCCTAGCATGGGTGTGGGCTGTGAAGATGTGTTTCACAGGCCTCCATCCACAGTAGGGAGGTGAGGTATTGTTAAAGACAAACTGGAGGTAGGAGAGTGGATGAGAACCATAGCCATTCCCCTGGCTAAACAGGCTCTGCAATTAGGGTACACAGTAGCTGTGGAGGCATGCTCGGGAGCCACTCTAATTAAGGCACCTGCAGCGTCTCATATTCAGTGTCCTGTGCTTCAAAATGGTGGCGGGGGTGCTTTAACTAAAGCTTATTCAAAGAGCTCTTGTTAAAGCGCCCCTACTACCATTTTGAAATGCAGGGATGCTGAGTACACAAAACACCAAGGTTGCTGGACTGCTAATTAGCACACTTCAGTAGACTCAATTAATTGAGTCTGCTCCAACGTGCTGTAATTACAGTGCACTGGAGCAATTGTCCCGCATGTCTACAGGCACCCTAATAGTCTAATTAGAACACTCTAGTGTTGCGTCACCATTAAGCTTCCCCACATTTCAAAGTGGCCAATACAGTCCCTCATCACTCCCTATAGCAGAGGTCATAGATTTAAATCCACAGACTGATTCAGGATCTCTACATCTTGCTTTTAAGGCTGCTTGCGGGTGTTAAAATAAACAAACTGCGCTTTAATGGAAGAAGCGTATGTTAGTTCGACCTGGCTCTGCAGTGTCTGTAGATCGGGCGCTTCACTGGGGCCTTTGGGTGCTTTTAGCTAAAGCTGATTCAATCAGCTATTAGATAAAAGTGCCCCAAAAGCCCCACTAAAGTGCCAGAACTTGTGGTAGAGGCGATATCGTTTATTAGACCGACTAGATTTTTGGAAAAAAAATTCTTTGCAAAAATCTAGTTGGTCTAATAAAGATAACTCCACCATGAGTTCTGATTCCTTTAGCCTCTAGAGCAATACGGCTACAACCTGGATATACACAAAAGTGCCCAATCTCTATACAGACATTGGGTGTGCCGGGTCCAAGTAAGGTATTGCCTCTTCTGGGCAAGTGCTAGTCTTGGCACGGAAGCAAGTCAAGTTTAAAATAAAGCGCAGCTTTTTTTTTTGTTTTTAACATCTGCAAGCAGCCTAAAAGTTCAGTCTGAGCCCCAATACCAGGAGCTGTTTTGGGTCTGTTTGTACAAATGCTGTATGCACGCAAGGAACATGTAGCTTGACTGTGGAATATTATTAATCTGCTCTTTGCCTACAAGGGACTGTAAATAACATTCTCTAGAACTCAGAAATGCCCTAAATCTAATACACCAACAAAAAATATTCTGAACTTCCACAGGGCCTTTCATTTGAGGCATCCTGAAGCACTTTACAAACATTAATTAAAGTAGCATTTTATGGCACAGTTTGTATAAGTGGTATAGAACTGAACATTTGTTACTCTAATTTTAATGAAATAACTGAATTGTGCAAGTAACATTGAGTAAAAATAGAACTTGGGCATGTTCATCTCTGCAGATCAGTATCTCTTGGATCCAATTTGCTTTACCCAGTAATAAAAGGATATAGTGCAGATAGCACTTTAGCCCTAGCTTTGTACTAATGGTCTTGCTTAATGGCACTGCCTTTGTCCTCATTAGCTAAGAATTAATTATACAAAGCTCTTAAATGGACAGAATATTGTGGTCAACAACAGATGGTGTCTTTGTTATTTCATTTTATTTTTTTTTAAATAATTCATTCTAGAAAAAATGAATGAACTGCAGAGCTGGGTTTAATATCCCTTTTGAGGTTGATGCAACATGAAGGAAAAAGAAATATAAAGAAAAATATCTTCCAAAACTTTTATCTACAACCAAGGTCAGGCACTTCTCAATATGCTGCAATAATTGCTTGAAAATCAATGGTTTAGTTGACAGAAATGCTGAACTTTCATGGCTCTAACTGATACCAGTGGGTGCTATCAGTGCTTAGCATCTCTGAAAATCAAACTATTGAATTCTATAGTGGTTATTGTATTTTAATTTATCATTCTTGACTTACAGCCAAATAACATATTCAGGAATAATTTTGAGACAGATACACTTGAAAAAAACTCACCCAAATACCATTTTCCTTTGGAGAGAGATAATACATAAATCTATATTTTAAAAAAATCTTACACTCAATAGCCTTATACTTACCAAATCCTTGGCATTTAGGGACACATCATCCCACCAGGGAGACACGAAATCATATTCACAGTTCAGAATTCTCTTGAACATGTACTGGTCACCCCTTTCATCGTAGAATGGTTCAAATCCACAAAGTCTAAGTGTGTTGGGGGGTGGGTTGCAGGGAGGGAGGGAGAGAGAGAGAGAGAGAGATTTATCAGACAGTCTAAGTGATTTCAGGTTCCTAGTAACATCTTTCAATGTGATCTTTTCCTAGTTCTCATCTTGTCTCTTCTCCTTTGCATATGAAAACACAATTATTTAAAATTAATTAAAATAATTAACCTCCCCTATTTTGGCTTTTTCAATTTTTGTTTATATTGTTATTGTATATTTATTGGGAGGGGGGGAAAGTATAATAGCTCTGCCTATTATCAAAGTTACCTGACCCTTCCCATCATAAAACCTCTTTTTTATTTGCTTATAACTTTGTCAAACTTCAGCTGCATTAGCTGCAATGTTCAATGCCAAGCCCTCACCACCCCATGCTGCTGCTGAAATTAACTTCACTACTGATTATGAAACATTTAGATGCCATAGTACTGGGCATCTGAGAAAAGCCCAGGAACAAATTATTAATTCTAACTTCATAGAACAATTAGAATAGTATGAAATAAGGAGGCCTGAGAACACACATTGAACCAGGAGGAGAAAACAAAATACTGAAGAGTTGTTCATTAAGGGCTACCTAATAGACATGGAAGTGGATTTAGGTGTCTTCATGCAATTCTATTTCACTCTGTTTGAGTCCCTGAGAAGCAGTTAAAAGAGAAGGTGGGTGTTTTCTCCTCCTCCTTGCTACATTTTTGTGACTCAGTCTTAATGGTAACATGACAGCATGTTACAAAAGCTGATGCATTCTTAGACTTCCAGTACTTAGGTGCTTAAATCCATTTAGACACATAGGCTAGGGACAGACATTACCTATAAACCAGTTTAAGTGATCAGAAACTGGTTTAAACCTGTAACAGAACGGATGTTCAGTTCATATAAACCAGTTTGAAAATAGCTAAAACTGGTTTGAGATAAACCAGTTTTATGCAATGTCTGTCCCAGACCCCTCTCTGGTTTAAGTTAAATCAGTCCCCTCAGCATCCCGGCATGCTCTCTGGGCTGGGTGGGACTCTCTGCTCCCCACAGCTGGGTTGGCCCCTCCCCTCTGCTCCCTGGCTGCAGCTCCAGCACAAACTGCACATACAGCAGGGTCTTCCTGGCTTCCTCAAGCTCCCTGCTCTCTCCCTCACTATTCCCTGCTCAAGCAGGCATTTCCTCCTCCCCTCTGCCTTACACCTCTCAGCATTAGCTAGCATACCACATGCTGGCTACGGTCTATGCTTTGGGAGATGGGACAAAGGCAGACAGGACAGTGTTGGTTTAGGGCTCTTTGGAGCTAATCAACAGGTAGTTGGTAATGTCCCTTCCTTGGAAAAAGTTGCTTAAGAAAAGCTTGAACTAATGAGAAAGGCTTTGTTCTCTTTGATATGGTGATAAATACTAACAATTTCCTGTGTAACTTCCTGCAGTGTAACTCAATGCTCTGTTATCAACTCTCTGCTGGCTCCCTTGCTTGTCGGGCAGGGGGGAAGGGAGGGAATCCCTCCCTAATTAAAGCATCCTGCCAGGGCCTGGCCATGCCCATCTCAGCTCAGCACTGTAAAAGGGCTGCTCTAGTGCCTCCTGGCTTCTAGCCTGAGCCACTGAAGGCATGTGCCTGCATTTCTGGAATGAAAAGGGAATGTCTATCCACCTCCAAATCAGTTCAAGCTTTGTGGGTTAGGTTAACCTGCAAGTATTGAATCAATTCAGGCTCAGGCTTTTTGAATGTCTGTCCCTAGCCATAATAGGTGGGACAGAATCTGGGTGTATGTGAGCACTGTCCATTCCAAATGAGGTAGAGGTCCTGTGGAAAAGTGATATGTGGGTATGTCTACACGTGTTCCTATGGCACTGATGTTACTGCGCTATGCTGGCAGTGCAGTTATTTTTAGCTCCTATATCACCATAGTGACATGCTATAGCGAGGGAGCATGTTGCTATGGTGGCATCATGGTTTGTGCTCGCTGATGCTACATTGCCATAGCCTATTGCTACGGCAACGTAGCATCTCATATAGACGTGCCATGTGATTATGTAATTAAACTCTGTAGTGTGATGCTTATGCACAAGATGTTAAGGTTACACAAACTTGAATTCTATCATTTCTTGCATAACTTGAATGCTTGACTTTCTAGCATAACTTGAATACTTGACTTTCCAACCTGAATAATAGTCTTATAACATAACCTCTATGTGTATAGTATGTATGTATAAGCTGACCCTTTGCCAAGAACCAGAACTGAGTACATCAGATGACTAGATCTGGACATGTTTTTGAACTTTGCATCTGGCTCCTAGTTTTGAAATGGGCCAAAGCAAAACTACACGTAGGTATTCTCTCTAATTGGAGTTTTTTGTTTCATCTTGTGGGCCCATCCCAAGGAGCATTATTTGCCTCTGCCTAAACCAAACACCTTAGAAAACTTTCCTAGGAGACCAGTGGAAAACAATGGGGACAAAAAAAAGAAGACCCAGAGATGTAGTTATTTCCTTGGACACCAAAGGCCAAATTTAAGTTTAGGTTTAAGAGGTCATTTTTTCTGCCAGGATGTACTAATTAATTTACTTGAACCCTCTCCTGAAGACACATTCATAACTTTGTAACAATGCATAATTCATACATCTCTGAACCTGGTTACAATCCTGTTCCTATGAAGTCAATTGCAAAACTCTCAATTAATGTGAACAGCAGTTGGGCTTCTGTCTTCCCATTTACAGATGAGAGACATTCAACAGTATTTCAAAGAGAAAGCAAACACACAGAAATGAGTGACAGTAATGCATCCCACTGCCTATTGTTTATATTATGCTGTAATCAGGCATAAACTGAACTCCCATTTAATCAGCAAGTGTTCTGTGCAGGATGCTGCCAACTAGATGTATCTTTTGCCATATTGTGGGAAAATGCATCAGGTCAGGGAATGATTAATAATACAACAATGAAAGAAGTAAAGAATATGTTTCTATAAGAAAAATATAACAGTAAATTTCAGTATCAATTTTATTATTTTTGAAAGCCAACAGTTTTGCACACTATATTAGACATGAGAGAGATGCATTAAAGCTCAAGAAACAAGATATTCTTCAAGAGAAGCTTTTCTGTGGATGAAATGACTGAATCAAGTGTTGCTGCTAGCACAGGGACTCCAGTGTAAAAATATTTATATGCTGTTATGTATGTTCAGGACTGGTAGAGATGAGTGAGACTAGAGGGGTATTATTAGGGACTTACTGAAATTGCTCTCTCACATTTTTCATGGAAAATGTAAAATTGGGTGGGCTTGCTGCAAAATTCCCCCCACCCTAAAACTTACTGCTCCAAGAGGGAGCCATCAGTCCTCATGGCTGCTGTGGCCTGGCCATGCAGCCTGCTTGATGTCGGGGACGGGGAGAGGAAGAAAGGGGGCTGCCAGCATGAAGGGCTGCCAGCAAGATGGCTGCTGCCCCTGCCCATCACTGCTGATTGGCTCAGAGGGCTGCTTGTTGTGTAGCCCCACACCTCTCCACCACTCAGCAGTAAGGGGCAGGGCAATATGACAGACAGCCCTCGCAACCAATCAGCAGCGAGGGGTGGTGTCACTGGGGCCCCTCACCCAGAGGCATGGGGGCTCCCCGCTGTGTTCAGACCACAAAAATGGCTGCCAGTCCCAGAATCTGCCTGCAGAATAGGCTGGTCACCTCATGTTTGGTAGACCCACTAGGTATAATCTTTGACCATTGTATTTAAGTAAGGCTACTGGCTACTGCTTTCTTGACCTCTTCAGTGCTATTATCTGCTTCTCTCCCAACCATCTTTGCATTTATTTCAATGATGTCCCTTTTTTGGAACATCCTCCTTGAACTGGTTTGCAAGCTTACTACCCTCTTTTATCAACATACTGTATTTTCTCATACACACATGGCCCCAAGTAAGAGATGCACCCTGGTTTTTGAAAGGCCAAATGAAGAGAAAAAGATTTTCTGGAGTTATTGCTGCATAAAGAAGGAAAAGAGTCTAATCTTCAGTTGACTCACCCTCCCTGTCTTGCTTAACCAAAAGCTGAAGCTCTTAGCTGCTGCTGAAGACTGATCTTCGTTGGTGGATCTATGATTTTGAAACAAGCTAAAAACAGTTCCAGGGCTGTGAAAAAAGGAGGAGGGAGATCAGGAGCAGCTAATGGACACCAAAACTGACTGAAGAAAGGTTATGTTGGTTAGTGGAACATCAAGTCCATTTAAAGGAGAGACAATTGTTAAACCTGTGGACTGAAGAATAATGAGCCATTAAGTGAACCGAGTCCCTCAACTGCCTGAATAGTAATGCCTTAACTGCTGCACTTTTTCTTCTTCTTGTGTCCTTGTCATAAACTAGTTGTTTTTCCAGAATTATGCACAAGTAATGGGTCTTTCTGTTGTTGCAGTGAGATCCTCCTTTATATAGGTTACACTAAAGAGTTGGCAAATGAACAGGTACTCTGTGGTCTGCATTTTACTGCACTTGCATGCATTTGTGTCATTAGAGTATCCTCATTTGATCATATTTGTTTTTGTTCTTCTAGGGCTCATGTACACACCACGATTTTTGCCCTTTCAATTGCATGTCTGTTTGCATGAGCAGGATATCCCGACGCTTTCAAAGTCTTTCTTGTGCATTAAACTAAAACTCCTTGGACGTAGTTTAGTTTGGCTTGCTGGGAGTTAAAGTGTTGTGTCCATGGATTCATTGTGTGCAAGCACAAAAGCACTGAAAGACGTGTAATGAGCATCTTTGTCCACCAGATGGCGCTACTACTTTTCTCTGGTTCACCCTTTGAATAGCTTCTGCTTCCCACTCTCCTGTGGTGCTGGCCAGGAACCCAACTTAATTAGTTTGAAAACCTAGTGCGTGTAAACACAGATGCGACACTCCAAAATAAAGTTTACATTTTATAAACCTATTTAAATGAGGATTAAAACCTGTGGTGTGTACAGGCACCCCTAGGTTGCATGTGTAGGCAAGCTTAGACATTGCTATGTTGATGA